TAGCTTCCTTGTGCCTTTTCTATAAATATTTTCATGGTAATTGTAGTGATGAGCTTTGCTCTTTGCTACCACAACTTTAATGATTACAGGTGGTAAAATGTAAGTAATCAATATTAAATTAATAAACAAGTGAGATGGATGATGATGTCAATAATTTGATGTTTATAAATTCCTGAGAATTATGTGAGTATAGCATCAGTATATTAAGAAAATCATCCATTATATTGTTTGTTAAATCAGATATTAATTACTGTCTAGTATGTTTTATGGATTTAGTTTTATCCTTGATATTTTAAAATATATGCATAATTTACTTTTCATGTATTTGATGTAAGTTTACAACATTTGTATTTAGTGAAAAATTATTCACTTTGAAGATGAAGGAGCTGACTTTAACCAGTTTGGGTATATATATATATATATATATATATATATATATATATATATATATATATATATATATTTATTTGTATGTATAAAGATATATGAGTATGTATGTATATGTAAAATGGGCTACTTAATAAAACAAGGACAAATGAAAGTGTACCAATATAATTAGTACGATAAGCATTTATTAGATATCAACCATATGACAAAAATGTAGTGTGGAGAGAAAGATTTTATGTTTGGAATTTTTAAACTGAGAAATGGGAACTATTAGCCAACAGATGGTTTTGTAGATGGGGTATTTTCCAGTGGAAATTGTATTATTGCCAAAAAACGGATCTCTGTCTGATTCCTTGATGTGCAAAACTTTTTATGAAAATAAATTTAAATTTAAAATTTTGATCAGTGTAAAAGTCTTAGGCCAATCTATTGTTACTAATGTGGGTTGTAGTGGGAAGTGAAATTGTAAACATTGATGAAGAGAGTTATAGGTTGGTGAAGGGGAAAGACATCTCGCATGTGGCAATTTGTAGCAAAAATTGGCAAACCACATGGTAGAGTGTTAAAAGCCGGGAATATGTTTAGAATATGATGTGATGAAAAGGAAGAAAGAGAAAGGGGAAAAAAAGGGAATATATAATAATAATAAAATATTATTAAATAAAATAAAATGAAAAGAAAAAGTGAAGGAACAAAAATATTGATAAAAATTTGGAAATCTGTTGTTAACAAAAATGGGTTTAATAAAATAATGGAAAACCTGAGAGGAAAAAGCTTGTACATATATAGATGCACATACGTATATATGAGCACATGACGGTGTGTAAATATACACAAGCTACCACACAAACATATGAATCACCATACATGTATAGATATAAATACATGTACTAAATTAATATGTATCTTTACCAACGTTCCGCTCTCCTTATATAAGCTTATAAGTAGCTATAGAGATAGATTCAATGATGGTATAAAGAGGGTGGCTGGAGAGTAGCTATCAGTGTGCAAGGAAATCCTACTATTGCTGACTAGTGTTTGGTGAGGGAAATCATAGGTTGTAGAACATAAAATTTACTGGGTAGGTGGGGTGATGGCTGTTAAAATTTATGTGGGAGAAATTAGGGTGGGACCTATTCATCCAAAGAGTAGTATTGCTGATTATCAGTTTCCCTGTGGAAATTGTACTCTCTGAGAAAACCCAAATCCTTGTTTAGTCCCTCAATGTGGGAATTTACTTTTAGGATATATTTCAACTCTGATCTGTGTCTGTCCTGCCAAACATATATATAAATATATATATATATAAATAGATAAATATGCAAATAGCACAATATTGTCAAAATATAAATAGAGTTAAAAACAAAATAATATACCTAGTTAAATGGGAAGTTATAAGAAAGTACACCCATATAATATTAGCAATAGGAACTGTAGACTGTGTTTGGAAGAAAAAATGAGCAATATTAACTTTTAATAATCAAATTAAATTATTAAATAATAAGAATGAAACAATGAGTCGATGCTGACATATTAGCAAATATTTACTTTGTTACATTAATAATAATATAACATAATAAATTAATTAAAATACTAATTAAAAATATTAACTAAAATATTATAATTTAATTAATAATAAAAATTAACAAATATCACAATTTAATTAATATTATAATATAACATAACAACTTCTATATAAACCATGAAAAATTTAATTTAATTTTGAAGAGAAAAAAATTTAAACTGGAAGAAAAATCTACAGCTGAAAAAATGAAAGATGTAAACAAAAGCAAAATTTCATGTAAAAATATTAAATTCATGAAGATGTATGTACACAAAATGGAGCAAAAAAGTGGATTGAAAAAGACATGGAACAAAGTAAAAAACTAGAAATACTGTTTAAAACTACAACCCCTGAAGACAGGAAATTTTATCAAGAAACATCTATCTCAGGATATAAAATTGATATTTAAAAGTTAAGTGATCTTTTCATAAAAGATAACATGAAGCCAAAAATAATGTCAGTTAGTGGTATATTGAGAGATAAGACATTTAAGGCAAGCAGTCCCTGCAATAAAAGTGCTCAATATCAGAGATAGATCATTAATAGAATTAATACAAGTAAAAGCTTGCTGATACTGGCTTATGAATAGACAAAGTAATTCCTGGCAGGTTCGTCTATGAAACTCTGTAGTCGAGATGCTGAAGTGACAAACCTTGTACTTGTTTTAATTTTATATACATACATATATATATATATACACACACACACACACACACACACACACACACACACACACACACACATATACACGCACACACTTAGAAAATGTGACTAAAATTTTTGTTTTTCATATATGCATATATATCATGAATAATCTGGGTCACTTTGGTGTTTTGGCAACTAGTGAAACTTTATTTGTTAGATAAAAAAAAAGAAGGGAAGGCAAGGAAAACAAAAAATAAATGTTTTTGTGTTTTGTTGTATCTCTTTTTTGTCTTATTTATCTGAAATGCAATGTTGCCATTCTCAGGGGTTGGGAGTGGGATGGTAACTATGGCATCTCAGAAGTCCCCCACCCACCAATGTGACTTTGTCTTGTTGTTTGGCCTCCCCCACCTCTTAGCCTAACCAACCACAGTGCATTTGTTTTTTTGAAATGGAGACGTATTTCTGAAGTGAGCCACAGACTTTTCACTAAATGACCATTGCTTCAAGGTTAGCAAGATTGACATGAAATTCAAATTATAAGTAGTCAGAATTGCTTTTTCCATGATGCAGTCTTGATGTATTCTTATTTATTTATTTTTTGTTACATTTTTAAATCTTAATTTTAATTTTCAGACCAGTTGGGTTAATTTGTAAATCTAAAAAAGAAAGAAAAATAATTTTTTTTTCTTTCTCATATGCAAAAGTGACATGTATGTCATGTGTAATTTGGATGACGTCAAGTTTTAGTAATCTGTGCAAGTAAAATAATCATCATCACATTTTATTTTAATAGGGGGCAAAGGAACTTAAGTTAAAACTTTAAAAAAATGTCAGCAACTAAACCAACTACCCCATTCTAAATTCTTCCAAGTGAGGCATCTTGTTAGCGAGCCAATAGGATGAAAAACATGACCTAACAAAGGGCGGAAGAACTCTCTGAGTCAATGGCCAGCTAAACTAGAGGTGGTGTCTCCATAAATCACCATAGGGAAGGCAAAAGGAAACTGCCCCACTATAAATCCCAAGTTATATTATGGCTAACAGCATACACAATATGAAACCTAACAGTATGAAGGGGGTTAAGTCTATGGGAGTTAACCCCTTGCCCAGTAAGGACAGACATGCACAACAGGTGTCACCTGACTGTCATTCAGCGACTGCTAACATAAATGGCATAAAAGGATAACATTCCTTGGAACCTATCCCTCACCCAGAAAGGAAAAACATGAGCGACAAGTATCACCAGACAGTTATCTTGTGACTGTTTGCATCAAACATAAAATAACTCTTAGGACATGGAATGTTCAGACATTGAACATCTGTGACCAGTTAGATAATGTGAAACAAAAGGTGAGCAGGCTAAAAATTAACATCCTAGGTGCATGTGAAACTAGATGAACCAAAAAACAGAGATATTGTCAGTGATGAGCACAGGATTATTTATGCAGGCAGAGAGAAAAATGAGAAAGGAGTAGGATTAATACTAGATAAAACATTTAAGAAATGTGTTCTGTGATATTACCAATTATCCAAAAAAATTCTGGTAGTCAAGCTGAAAGGAAAGCCATTCAACATAGCTATCATAATAGTGTATATACCAACAACACAAAGTAAGTAAGAAGAAATTGAAGCTGTCCTTTTGTAATTTTCTATAATGAAGCACTTTGTCTTCTCATTCTCACAGCCTAAGTGGTTGAAGAAAATTTCTTGAATATTTGGTAAAAGGGTTATTTGCAAGAATAATGTATTGGGTGGACTTTTCTCCAAAATGAATAATCATCCTGGCCTGTCTATTAGAAACTGATAGGTTTTAAAACCTCTGTTTGCTTAAATTAGAATATGAAGAATAACAAGCAAGAATTGTTCATTGTTGAAGAAATGGTTTTATTTGCAAGTTCCTGACTGATAACACAACTAAGCTTTTCATAGTAGAGCTGCTGTGATTAACTCTTATTATTCCAGTTTTGTAAATATAAAATTATAAAAAATGTGAGTAAAAAAAAATATACCAGGAAAAATAGAAGATAATTTGAATTATTTTTTGAAAGGAGAGAAAACACTCGGATTGAAAATAATGCTATCTTTATTGTTTTTAATATCTTTGGTTGAATTTTAGATATTGCTTTCCTAGTGACTAACTATGTATTTTTTTTTAATGCTTTAAGTCAATATTTAATCAGTCTTTTGCATTTCCAAAGATTTTTATTATTGTCACAGATCATTCTGATTAAATAACAGAAGTTAAAATAACAAAGATAATGATATTAATTTCCTTAAAAGTCATGAATGCATATGATGACCTCCTCCTTGCATAGATGCTGAACCTTATTTTAAGCAAATCAAACTCAAAAAGCAAATCTCAATTTTTGTTCCTATCTGTTTCATTCCTCCTGTGCCAAGTTTAGTTCTCATCAGGATTGACATCATTTAGAAGACGTTTGTAGTTTACTTTGTCCACCTTCACTTTCTTCTTATAACCTTTCCAGATGTTGGGATCAGAAACTGTACTTCCAAGTTGAGTGTTCCGCCGCCACTCAATGTTGTTGACAAATTCTTCATAATGAATCACTTTTTGATCATCTGTGGAAAAGCTGGATTTGAAAGAAAATCAGAATGGGTTTTACGATCAGTTGGATCTTTTACAGATTTTTTTATGTAACTATGAAGAAAAACATCAAGACTTACTTCTCAATGAGTTGATGTAGCAAATCTCTGGTAAGTGGAACTCGCAAGGAAAGCATAATTCGCCATATGATCTGTTGGTTTAAGACACCACTCCTAAAATTAAGAAAGAATAGGAAATAGATTTTTTAAATTTTTATAAATATTCAAAAATTATAAATAATTATGGTTTCTTAGAATCTCTTATATTCTTTTAAATAATTACAAGTCATCTTCATTGTATTTTATTGATTTTACTTCATTATTTACATTTATTTCACTTCTTATTTTACTTCATTTTATTATAAAACAAAAAAAAAACCTGTAGTACAAAAAGCACATACTCTGATTCAATGGAAGAGACAAATGACTTCACAATAACAAATTAACTAGAAAGAATTAACTCATATGGGATACCCTGCAATATGAACAGTAGAATAAGAGAAATCTATCCCCATCAATAGAATAAAGATTTTGGTTCAAAATTCTCAGAAGCTTGAGAATATAAAAGCTAAAACACTGATGATAACAACAAAAATGAGGATAATAATAATTTCTAATCTGAAAATTTAGACAAGAATTATTTGAATCCAAAGAATTCTCTTAAAGGCACAGTTTACTTTTAAATAGCCAATATTGGAACTCCAACCTACACTTTGATTGTATTTCTCTTTCTCTCAGCAGTTTTACTCAATAGGCCATGTTGACTGCATGAACATATAAGGTGATATTTAACCATATTGTTTTCCAAAACTACAGAAATGGTTTCTAACAAGTTATTACTAATTTACACTTGATTATTATTGCTAAGCTATACTAAGTTTTTTTTTATAAACTTTGTTAGTAAACATAAAGAAAAAGGAATTGTAAAAAATGAAATAGTGTATTTAGGAATCTGGAGACTGTTTTACATATTTGTTATTTCACATTTTGCTATATTCTGTGTGTTGTTACCTGTACTCTTTGTTCGAATTCTTATAACAAGTCTTATTTATATATATATATATATATATATATATATATATATATATATATATATATATATATATATTGATGCATGTTTCATTAAATAATATAGACAAGTTTTGTCTTTTTACTTTAAGTATCTTTCATATTGTCTGATAAGCTTAATTATCATTGAAAGATGAAAGGAAATCACCATATTGATACATGTTTAAATCCAATCTAAGCTTTCAGCTTACATAAGCCATAATCAAAGATGATAATTACTTTTCAATATATCAACCAATACACGGATGAAACGATAATGTTAGTCTGTTTTTGTTGCATGAAAAATTTCAAAGCAACGACTAACTCGTGTATATGAGATACGGAAGCGAAAATCGCGTCGCAGGTCATGATGTCACACATGACCACACAAGAGTCAAAACAAGAAGTATTAAATATGGAAAGCCATTGGTATAAACCAATGGCTTCTGTTATCAATTACAGGCATTTAAGAATATTTATGGAGCTTTTGTAGTTCATTTTGTTCAGATTAGGTTTCAACTGTTTTATGTATATAGCTTCAAGAATTTTTAGTTTTTGTTTATTGTTTTCATGTTTAAGTATAGTTGTGTTTTCAACAAGGATTTTCCAGAATTGTCTACGCTGCCAGGCATGTTGTTTTTAGGCATTTAAAACAACATTTAAGTACACCAGCCATACTGGCACACAGGTATTATGATCTTCCATCTGAGACCAAATTCAATCTTTTAGAGCTGCAACAAATAAGCAAATATTTCATTCTCAAGAGTGTAGTGTCTGTTCATAGTGCTTGCAATGAATGTGAATTTTTCTAACACCTTCAGTTTGTCACCATCCACAAATATTGATGATTTGACCCAGAACAGGTTGGAAAATGGCTACTGTCTTGTCTAGGATGATAGTAATTCAGAAAGCATTTCAGAAACAGGAAAATGTATACATCAGAGCCTGCATTTCCTGCTCTGTTTGAGTGACCAAGTCACTGTCATTGGTATACAGAAGGTCTCATACTAGAGCTAGGAATATTTTAGATTTAGCATACATACATGCATGGTAACCTCATAAACTATTATTATCACCACTGTAACAGAATAAAATCTACTATAATTATTATTGTTTAAGAGCACAAATAATCTACAGCCCCTAATATTTACCTGAAGAAGAAATGTATATTGAAAAAAACCTTTAAAAACTTCCAATAATGCTACTATTCCATCTACAATGCTAAGAAAAAGGCATTCAAAATTCACAACTACAAAAAGATAACAACAACACCAATAACAATAAAATAGATAAAAAGAGGCATATAATATTACCTACTAATTAATTAGCATCTCCTAATCAAAACAATATATCCAGTCTTAATAATATCAAAATAATTACAACCACATCTAGAACTATCATGGATATAATCAGAGCCAAACATTTCCAGAATAACAATTCTGAAGCAGACACACACACACACACACACACACACATGTGCGCGCACACACACATGTGCACACACACACACACATGTGCGCACACACACACACACGTGCACACACACACACATATATATATATATATATAAAGAGAGAGAGATAGTTAAAATAGATGTTATAAAGAACATAGCCAACCAAGCTAAACTAATTTCTTCTTCATACACATTATTTTATGCAAAACTGGGCACAATAAAACAAACACTTATTAAGAATAGTTTGCCAAAGCAGATCGATGAGAAAATAAAATTAGCTTTAAAAATTTTTAGAAAAATTAACAGAAGCAATATACACAACCTTAGTTTATTCTGTTGTGACCAGATGCACCTTAATTATAAATAATGAAAAAGCCATTAAAAATACAATTAGCCAGTACATATCATTTAATGATTGTAATAAATACTTGAGGTTTATCATTTATCACAAAAAGTTTAAAATGTCTAATTTACTGCACATTCTTGTTGGTTAACTAGACATTAATGAAAATTCATTGCATCAAAAACAAAAACAATATGTTTATTAACATAAGACAAATATTAGGAGATAATACTAAAATCCCATATAGCACTCACTGTAAAGAAAAACATAAAATATTTAAAGCTATCATTATAAAAAAGAAGCATCCTACATCAAACAGTATCATTCACCATAGGAGATAGTGTTTTAAAATGTATTTAAAAAATGAATATCTTCATTGGACTAATTTAAAAAAAGAAGACCTACATGTTACCAATAAACAATATAGACATATTTAACTTAGAAATGTAACATTCCTATAGATGATAGTGTGAAGCTAATAAAAACTTTTCTCTATAACACTAATACCATTATCAGATAATGATTAGATATTCAAAAGTACTTGAACAAAAAACATCATGATCTCTTTGAATAGTTTGTTTATAAATTTAATCTGGACAATTTATAAACAAATTGGAAAAATGTCATAAAATTAAACAACTTATATATATATATATATATATATAAGAACAAGAGTGCCAAGAAGAAGTGCTCTATATAAAAAAAATGAAACTAACACTAAATAAGATTAATTATCAGTATAGGAAAAATTTTTTTTAAATGCTTATAAAAGGAATGTTTTGGGATACTCAAATTATCAGATGTACAAATTTAATAAGAGACATGCTGTCTTTGTGTTTCTACTTCTCCTCCTTCCTTTTTTTTGTCTTACTATCAGGATCGAGTCTTGTTTGAGTGAAGAAAGCAATTTGGGGTCACTTGATAACAAACAGAATGACATCCTAAGAAATATTAGAAAGTGAGTTTAGGGTGCTTGACAACTAACAAACTAACAAAATGACCTCCTGATAATTGTTCCACTACATTCACATAACATACATCACTAAGTGGAATTTTGGTATTGTAATTTTAGGTTCCTGATGACCTCCAATGACAATAGTTCACAAGAAAAATAGATTCTCATCATGCATTTGTAAGGGATGAGAAATACACCAACAAGCCTATTCCATTATTTGTTGTGTAGTGAATAAGGAAAACACAAAGTACCATAAATGAAACAATTATGTATTTCCCACTGCTGCAAAGCAGTTGATGTTCAAGTCCATATTAAAAATATCTCCTCAAATGATGAATTTCAAGGTAAGCATGTCCTCTTATTTGGAAGCATATAATACAATTTTCTTGAAACAAATTTTCTCTCCTTCTCTCTCTCCCCCCCTCTCTCTCTCTCTATATATATATATATATATATATATATATATATATATTCATACACATTTCATTAAATAATATAGACGAGTGTTGTCTATTTATTTTATGTAAATTCTTTTCATAACATCTAATAAGTTTAATAACATTATCATTGAACGAAGAAAGAAATTCATGATATTGATCCATATTTTTTAATACAATCTAAGCTTTCAGCTTACATAAGCCATTATCAAAGATGTCAATTACAACATATTAAGCAATATACAGACAAGATAGTGATGATAGTCTGTGATTGTTTACATAGAGGATTTCTAAGCAACGATAAACACGTGCATATAAGACGCTAGAAGCAAAAATCCCACCGCATCTCATGACGTCACACATGACCATGCGAGAGTGAATTGGAGAAGTATGAAGTATGGGAAGCCATTGGTATAAACCAATGGCTTCTGTTACCAATTATATAATACACACAATATATATATATATATATATATATATATATATATATATAATGCATTCAACATTTTATTCAAATCAGAAAAAAATTATACTAATTATGAAAATAATAGATTGTAAAGTAACAAAATTGTTGGCCTAATATATTTTTATATATGTGAAATATCCCAAAATTTTAGGTTGTCGATTTCAGTCAATGCTTGAAGATATAAAAAATATATTTTTAGACTATTTCCCTTTTTATGCAATCATCTCAAAAAAAAATCATATGAAGGTATGAAAGGATAAAATATGAAAGTTGATGTCTAATACAACAATATTTTATTCAAAGAAAGAACAACTAAAACTGCTCATGACAAAATGGATGTAATAACAAAAGAGAAATGTAATATTTTTTTTACTGCTATAATTCCTACTGAATTGAATCAGTCTATCATCAACCCCTAAGTTAATTTGAGAATTTCTTCAGAAATAATACCTTTCCAAATGGTTAATATTGCT